ATACACTGAGAATTTACGATTTTGAAATATTTTTGCCCGTTTTTCGTGAAAACATCAGCCCGCTGACAGTGTGATTCCTGCTGTGAATGCTGTGCGAGTAATTGTGTTGGGAAATGTGGGCAGATAGATCGATATGTGTCGGGTCTCTTTTAATTAAACAACCTTTGCAGCAAAGTGTTTAGAATAGACATTATGGCTTGTACTACCAATGTGAACACTCCTGTCAGGTTAACTAAAATCTGAAAACCAACGTCATCCTACAAGAAACCAAAGAAAGTTAATTACAATCTGTCACATGCACAGTATTTTAATCCTACAGAAATGTATTATCCCAACAATTCCCCCTCCCAGATAAACCCCACAAAAACTTAAAATAAAACTTACTGCCTCCATGTTGGATAATGGTGAAATGCCAAGCAACACCCCATCATTATTAACTCCCAAGAATGGTCTGATCATGCAGTTAAAGAACCTGAACTCGATGTACACCACGATCCTAAACCTAGTGGTTATCCTCATTAATAGGCCTACACTGGGATAGAAAATCCAACAGATCATACGCAAAATGCTAAGTAGAAAAAAAAATCATTTTATTTAAAAATAAAAATAATTATTTAGTAGTTTATAATTATTAAATATTACACATTACTGGAATATCATTAGCCCTAGTTAAACTCAGACGATACTTACGAGGCCAGACGAACATGGAATACGACATCGTCCTAATAATAATTATAAAAAAAAAAAACAAGTTAATAATAATAATAATAATAATAATAATAATAATTATTATTATTATTATTATTATTATTATTACGAATCAACAGACGTTTATTATATAATTTTAAAACAAAATTTATTGACAAAAAAGAAGATCAAAACGTCGATCTTCTTTTTTGTCAATAAATTTTGTTTTAAAATTATTAATATTATTATTACGTTAGAGTTATGATTATTATGTTCTTAAAGCCATGCTTAGGAGTAAAGTTTTTTTTATGTGTTTTATAATAAGAAATAAAAAGCATATTTGACGAAAAACTCCCGAGCGGTTAATGAGATACAGATTTTCTAAATATTTAAAAACTGGCGGGAGAAGGGGCGTAACCACCCTTCAATAGGAAAGTAACTAGTGTCGTCGTGGAGAGCAGTAGTCACAAAAAGTCTTGGCTATGTGATGTGGCCACAAAAGTAAGGGAATTCTCCGATGTCGTTTTCTGGCCGCGCTACGTTCGAGTGATTTTTATCATTATTATGTGTCCAGTGTCATTTCAAATGTACAATATCATATCGAATTCAAACATAGAGGGCGCATCATCGTTTTTGAAACCACATTCGTTAAAGATAATGCACGCTCTTTTTTATACATGTATTAATATGTGTAATCGTCATATTATATATTGTACATGTATTAAGATTATAATACACATACATGTATAATCCTTGTATACATGTATAATCATTGTATAATCTTTATAATATAGGACTACATGTAAGGCCTACTAACATTTTATTTTAAACGAGTTAGAATGATATTCATGTATAATATATGTATACATGTAACAAGTTTATAGGATGTATACATGTTATACAGCACAACTCTGAAATAACTGGTACTGCTAGTAGCTAGACGTAATTATTTTCCTGGCTCTTAATAAAAAAACATCAGCTTACTATAATAGCCCCCGCTAGTCTTAGGAGACTAAAAGTAGTCCCAATTGTTATTTGCAGGGGAACGGACTGCACTTTACAAGAGAGAATGATGTTGGTGCCATCTCGTGCTAGCTGAAAACTAACACGAACGTGAAATAAATCACATAGTGTAGCTATCCCTACAAGAATCCCAATTGTCCCGTCCATCTTTGTCTGACCTATTTAACGTAAACAAAATGTGGCATTATTTGTAATATCATGATATAAATCAAACACAAAAATAAAAACATAATGATTTAATATTAGTCCTATATATACAGCAGAGGTGGCCGAAACATTTTTTAATTGATTCTATTAATTTTTGTATTTGAAATAATGAATTTTCATTAAAATACAATATTCAAGATGATCTTTTGTACCTACTAAAAATCAGAAAATTGCTTCAACTGACAATTTTACAAAGTTTAAAGAACATAGTACAGTAATAAATAAATAAAAAAAAGCATATAAACAAAATTAGTAAGAAAAAAATATAATATAGTAAGAAAAACAACACAATGTATGTGATCTGTCTCTTATACACATCTAGATGTGTATAAGAGACAGGTAATACACTGAGTCGAAGTTAAATAATATTGACCAACATGCCGTTAAAAAGGCCTAAATTGCACATAAATTAAGATCTTTTACACATTAGTATTGTGTAGAAGAACAGATGTAATTCAATTTTGAAGTGCTTCAAAATATTATATTAATAATAATTATTTATGATTATTGCTATTCCATCCACAACTGAAGTATTAGGTAAAATAAAACAATTTAAACATGAATTACTATTATTTTCCAATAGATTAAAATATTGTGAACTAATAAAATGGATTCATACGAATGTAGAACTGTTATTATATTGGACTATGGATATATTTTTAGTGGTTTTTTTTTCTTTAAAATTTTCAAGCTTATTATTTTGATATAGATGACATTATATTTTTAAAGATTATCCATTTAAACGGTTCAGCAAAGATTGAATGCAGGTTGAAAATGCAATTCTATATTTAAAACGATCGGCAAAAATGTATGCATAAAAGTACAAGTTATTTTAAAAATCATGTGTTTAGTTCTTATTTCAATGATGAATTAGTGATAATGAACAGCCAACTAAGATTGCTACGAAGAATTAATGCTTATGAGGTTTTAATGTGAATAATTTTAATTTTTAAATCTCCTAAACATTTTGTATTACTATACTCTGAGTTAGTATTGATGCTATTAATGGGTGGATAATTGTTTGGAGGTTTTTTGAAAAATCGGTATTAACAATAAATCTGATTTAGTATATTTATCATATATATATTTAGCTTAATTATCCAATCTTATCAATTTGATATATATGTATATTGCTGCATTTTGTGAAACACTTCACTCACCTGATGCAGCCCTATTGACTGGGGCGAAAAATTGTAGAATAAGGTTTATCTTTATTCAAAAAAGTGCTATACTACATTTTTGATATATAAACTCAGGAATTCCTGGTAAAAGATATTATGATTCACATATTCCTACAAATATTTGCTACAGGGAGACTTATTTTTGTTAATATTGATATTATTGATGGTTGAGAATTCTTGTAGGTCGCTAGGTTAAGTTTGTGCTTATGGGCCTACAACTACCGTACCAAAGAGCTAGGGGTTTAGCCAGAAAAACGAAATAGGCCAAAATGGAAGCCAGTTGGCCTGGCACTCCCGCCCATCTTCGGGAATCCCCACCGAATATTGATACGAAAACAACGTACATTCAATCAATAAATGTTGTTTTTAATCAAACGTAAATATGATTTAGCTTTAGTTTAATGTAACATTTGATAGATTTGAATAATGTAAAGGATTTGCTAAAGGCAGACCAGGCCCAATTAGGCTATAGGCCGAGCTGATTAGAACAAGCCTTCACGGTATAAAATTCGTGTCCTAAACTATTGTAGGAAAAATGGCGGCAGGTTCGCTGTCTAAGCCGGCGACTAGTGCGAAATTGCAATACCTATAATATATCGTCCTATCCGATTCAGAAACAGTTTTATAATACAATGCAATCAATTAAAAGGAACAAAATTATAATACAATGTAATACTAATACAAGTACCTGAGATAAAAATAAAGAATTAAAAAGTATCCTTAACTGTAAATTGCTTGAAACGAAATTTTTAAAGATGACTGGCGAAAATGAAAAAATGGTTCGTCTAAGGTC